GGCTGGTTCTTTAGTCGACTATAGGGAATATACTTGAGTATTTCTTGGGGTTATAATTTGCGCCCTGCCATTGTCCGATGCCAAATTGAAGTAGTTATTTTTGTGTGGTGGACCCATTCCTTGACTGACTTGATATTCTTATTTAACGGTTCCTTACACAGCTAATTGCCCCGCGCCATTATTATTTCATTTATGTTTATAACCTTTTTTTTACAATGTCTGACCAAACACGCATTGTTAATCCGTAGGAAAATTCTCTTGGTGTCGCATTACCCTTTTTCGGCGCTTCTAACGCTCACGTGTGGTTTGTTCAAATAGAAGACATATTCCGTTTTCGAAGGATCACATCGCCATCCTCCAGGTTTTCATCTCTGAGTGCACATTTGTCACTTACTATTGGTTCTGAGGTCATTGACATTCCCGATCCCATGCCCTTAGATCCACTGTATGATAAACCTAAGGTAGTTATTTTTAAGTGCACTACTGCTTCAGACGAAGCAGGCCCTGAACTATTGTTTTCTAGCGTCAACCTTTGAGACCAAACGCCGTCCTAGCTTCTTTGACATATGTGTTCACCTGTTGGATCTCCCATCCTGGACTATTCCGTTCTCTGCCAACTGTGGAGTAATTGCCATTCTGTGCATACGACAGCTGTTCTAATCGTTCTCGCTGATGATATCCCTCTAGACCAGTGGTTCCCAACCTTTTAGACGCCGTTACCCACAAAGGGGGTTGCCCACCAGACTTTTACCCCAAAACTTTCGAAAGACTACTACGTAATAACTATTGCACATTTCGCTCTAAAGTTCAAAAACAAATGTCATATGTAGTTTCACGTGCTCATGCAATTGAAGGAAACACCCCTTCCCATTACATAATTATCCGACTTAAGTACGAGAAGTGATCGGTATCCGGAATCTCCCTCGACAAATAAACGAAAGAAAACAGTACTTTTAATTCAAAATTCTATGCAAACAAGAGGCGATATACATCAATGAGACGGTTGGTATTGTTTGGTGGTAACAATTTCTGGTATATTTGGTGCAGTTTCGGCCAATGCACATCGCAAGTCGTGCTCCAAGTTCATTCGATTCCTTGCTTTTGTTTTCATTACCATCATTGTCGAAAATGCACTTTCACATTTATAAGTTTTGCAAATGGGATCAATATTCTCAATGCGCTTTCCGACAGTAATGGATACTCTTCACCTATCTTTGCTCAAAATGTTACTAGTTGCGTGCTTTGGAAATCTACCTTCAATCCGCTGTCCTCGCGCATTCCTAGGAATTGTACCTTGATTTCGAACTCAGTATCTGGAAATATTCCTTCAGCTACTGTAAACGGTCTTAGCACCCAGGCACTTAATTGGCGAGTTTCCAAATCAGCAAAATATTTGCTGATGGAATTCATCACTGATGACAAGTGGCAAGATATTTCGTTCGTGAATGCGCATTTTTCATTTCTTTCAACGAGCACCGTCGTTAGTTCTGGAAATATCGCCACGTCGTCAACATCAACCGAGCGCTGGTAAAGCTGCAGTTTGCGGAGGAAACCGGCTACTCTATCCTGAGCGACTAAAATTTTCATCATATTCCCTTGCAGGCTGAGGTTAAGCGCATTGATTTCTCCAAAGAAATCAGCAAGATAAGCAAGTTTCGAAATAAACACGCTGTCCGTTATAATAACGTGTAACTCGTTTCCCTTACCGTTATGCATCTCTTTTCTTCGAAGAAAGATTGCAATTTCCTCTCGAAGCTGAAGCACTCGGTGCAGCACCCCGCCTCGTGACAACCAACGCACTTCTGTGTGCAATAGTAGCACGTCGAATTTGCCTCCAAATTCATTGCACAACTCTTTGAAGATTCTTGTGTGGGTCGCACTACCGCGGATGACATTTACTCTCTTTACTACTTTGGTTAACACGTCAAGTAAAGCAGGTGGAAGAGTGCTCACTGCTAAAGCACAACGATGTATGATGCAGCCACTAAAGGTAGCGTGCGGAGCAACACTTTTGACCAATGTTTGGAATCCGGAACGGACGCCCAACATGGCTGGTGCTCCGTCTGTACAGACACCCACTAACTTCGACCATAGTAGCATGTTTTCCTCGAGGAACTTCTTTACTATTCGGAAGACATCTTCGCCACGCGTAGTCGTGCTCAAGGATTCTGAGAACAAGTACTCTTCTTTGAAGCTATCACTTTTTAGGTACCGAACATACACAAGTAGTTGGGAACAGGACGCTACGTCGGTCGACTCATCTAACTGGATTGCAAAGAAGGGACTTGATCTTATTTCGTTGAGCATCATGTTCAAAATTTGTTTGCTCATGTCCTCGATACGACTTTTGATGGTGTTGTTCGAAAGTGATATCATATTAATCTTCTCCGCATGATGTTCTCCAAGAACGAGCTTAACCGCATCCATTATGCAAGGTTTGATGAGGTCCTCTCCTATGGTATGCGGCTTCTTGTTTTCGGCGATTCGAAGCTCAGTGCGATACGAAGCTTCAAGGGCAGCCTCATTTGCCTGAGAAAAGGAGCTCGATGTATCCAGGCGCGAAAGTTTTTATTTAGCTTCTTTCCTTCTGAAGAATGTAATATCTTTTCCTATCAAATGGGCATGACTTCGTTCGAAGTGCTCTTTCAATTTACTAGGTTTCATACTCTCCGCCGTGAGCACTTTGCTGCACAAAACGCATTGCGGTTTCTCAACATTTTTATCAGCGAAGTTAGTGAAGCCCCACTGCAGAAATGCTTCTTTGCAGGACCGCTTTTTTCTGGAAGACGTATTCCCTGCAAACAATTAAGTAGGTAGATGTTATAGATATATATCATTTATAGAAATTAATCTCGTTATTCCATGCAGGTGACATTATCGCAAACGTTCGCAGACAAATATATTTTTGTCGGCATCAAAGCCACTGAATGAAAATGCTCACCTGCCAAGACTTCTCGTCAAAAACAACTGCTCATGAAAGTGATCAACATAACACCTAATGGTCATTGGCGTCCAATCTGCTGATTCTATGTTGGTTGTGACCCCAATTGTATCGTTTCTCTGCCCTTTCAAACGCCCACCGTTATCCCGATTCAGGCCCTCTCTTGACCCCATCGTGTCTGATTCCTAATCAAACATGAACATGTGTTTCATTCCTCCGTTCCACGTTATTCCTTGACATTTTCCCGACACCATTCTGTATCCATACCTTGTGAACATTAATCACCCTTTCTTGCCGTTCCTACTGTCAAACGTTCACCTGTGAACATAACTGGTACTTTGACCATTGCTGAAACGATAGTTTGCTATCCACCCCGTTATTCGACCCGGTGAACGACTGGCTTATTCGAAAACACGGCAGCAGTTGTGGCAGTCGACAAAGGCGCCATGCCGTAGTAGCTGCATTGACTGATGGCTAACTAAAAATGCTGAGCTAGTTGCAATGTGTGATTTCGTTATTAAGCTTATTTCGCGACTGATTTGTGACCAAATCCAATTATCGGTATTTACCCCTCGGAAAATGCCATTTTACCCCCTTGGGGGTAATTACCCCCAGGTTGGGAAACCCTGCTCTAGACAAACTGGCAGGGGCAGATGATAAAGTGCACGAACATTTCATTAAAACTTCTGTATCCCACGTACCCGACGTAAATCCTGCAAACTCCAGTGAAATCACTTTACTTGCTTTTATTAACGAGAGCTTTTCAAACTTAGATCTCAGCCTGTCTCACCTCAGACGTGATCGTGTCCTACTGCGAAGATCTTTTCTAGAACCAGGCAGCATAGTAAACCCGGTATACAACCGTCGCGCCGGTATTGTTATAATCGTTTGTTAACTGAGGGGAGCGAAGGATATCACTGCCGCACCTATCGAAGAATGGTAACATATTAAAGTGATTGCTTTTGGTTGGAGCTCAAAGCTCTTATTACTGCCATCGTTTAAGTGACAGATGCATTAACTATCAGAAAGTGACTGCACCGATGCATACGATTCATTGAACACACTGCATTCAAGCACATTGGTTATGTATACTGGTAGGCGTTAATCAAATTGAGGGTCCAGTAAAGCTACAAATGCCAGATTTAGTAGTTGCTACCGCTTTTTGCGTCATTTGTGAAGCCAAATTGAAGACTGTAAGTTCTGGTGTCTTTTGTACACCTCGGCTACGGCCGTTTTAGGTACTCTTCGCCCGAAACTGTCATGCTATGATGTATGTGAACAGTGCATGACGTAACATGCTCCTGATAGTCAGGGAAGCACCTTTGCCCTCTGACTGGATTTTAATTATTTCACAGTTGATTTTTTAACCACGGTTGTTGCGGTTGTTTTTCCTTTCGTTGAAAGCTCCTTCACTCTTAGACCGCGGTTTCGTCCTGTTGGGACTCATCAGTTGGAGATAGCCTGAGTTGGGCTGGAACTCAGAGCCTAGTGGCTCATGGTTGACACCATAAGTACTATGCCACTGAGATCCGCGAGCAACCGCGGTCTTGGAGCGTCAGTGTTTGGGTGAGCAACACTATAATTTTCATTTTACTTACGGTCTTTTTGATCGGAATGGCCGAGGTCCACCTCAAGTGAACCGAGGTCTCAATAGAGGTTGCTTGTAGCAACCCAACCGCCAGCGGATTCTCCAAATTCATCTTTGCATTCAGTTCCGTTTGTCCAAGCGTTGTTCGCGGATCTCAGTGGCATAGTGCTTATGGTGTCAACCATGAGCCACTAGGCTCTGAGTTCCAGCCCAACTCAGGCTATCTCCAACTGATGAGTCCCAACAGGACGAAACCGCGGTCTTGGAGTGTCAGTGTTTGGGTGAGCAACACTATAATTTTCACTCCTTCACTCTTATTTATCCTAAGTCTAGACAAAAAGACATGTAAAGTTTGCTAAACGGGATCAGCGTAAATAGTTTTGGTAACCACTTTACCAAGGTCGCAGTTTTTAGTCCAATGCCAGCCAACGTTCTCTCACCTAATTCCCTTAATGGTTTTCATGCAAATAGAAAGAAAGTTGCTGCCGAACCGGAAGAGAAGCTTGATGATCTAACTTCAGGTGAGTAGGTGATCAATGTTCACCCATTTATTGCGTTTGCATGTTGACTACATGAACAAGGTTTAGCCGTTAGAAGCATTCTTCCACCTCGATTCACAGCAGTTTGTTCATGGTAATCCATCCACTGGAGTCGCAATAGATCATCTGTCGTGCACCTTGTCTCCCCTAGCAATGATTAACAGTCGCTTGGATCCAGCAATGGAATTGGCCGAATCCGACAGGCAGAAACTTCATGAATTCCCGTAGCCAATGCAGCCTCATCTGGGATATCAATGAGCAAATGCTGTCAAACATACGGCAACGCAAACATGTGCAGACCAACGTCAGCGATGATACAGCACACTCGCTACGTTGTTGGTCTGTGTTAGTAGATAAAACAGAAAGCAGCGCACTCGCTATGCGCTGACGCTTACCCATTTCACTTACCCGTCGTCTTTTGTATATTGACCCATTGTGCCAGCGCTTATGACTTGCCAAACCATATCCGCTGAGAAAAACACAGTCGCATGTGCTTCAATGCGAAGTGTATGATATCAAGGGTCTACTGCTTGTGTGGTCAGCGTTTTTCCTCCTGATACCACCGATTTTTCTCTTGAAGCTGTCAACGGCATGCAAGATGTTAACACACCACAGGCGTCGATCTACTGCCATTGATTCACAACACATATAATTAAAATTACACTGCAGTAATTTCCGCTTGCTCATGTCCTGAAAGCGTAGGTTCGGGTTAATTAAACTTCGCTTGGCTGCGCTCAGTTGTCTGTACGGCAGGTGTTTCGATATCCTGATCGCATTCACAGGACGAACATGTCTCAAGCACCGAAGGCGTCGCAGCAGAAGTATACAGTCCACTCCTCCATACATGCCACTTCGGCGGAGCACTTCCGTACCAGGAACTCTGTCACAGCAACGGATGCGCAAAGTCCACCGCAGTCACTGGTGTTGAAAGTATTCCGGATATGAATAAATATTATTGAATGGCATCCATGTTTCGCTGCTGTAGGGAAGGACCGACAGCACCATAGGGTTGTAAACCGTCAACCTTTTTCTGATGGTTATCCGATAATTTTTCCACACCGGATGTTCCAGATTGCCAAACGCAACATTCGCCTTCGAAGTGCGAGTGCACCAAATTTCGATGAGGTATCAAAGACTTCGTCAGCAATCACGATTTGTGAGCGGCTCAGAAGCTCCCTTCTTTTTGGCGGAGTAGAATGATGCAGCTTCATTTGTATTGGTGGTTACTCTAAATTGAACCATCCTCAAAGTTACAACTGTCATCATACGTCGCGACCCATCTTTGCTGTGAACAAACAACCCACAGTCGTCAGAAAACAACAGCATCCGGATGGTTGCTTCAAGCTTTCGGATTCTTGCCTCAGAACGACGGATACATTAGCAGTCCACCACCGATGCAGTGCTCGAGACAGACACTGTATATACTAGCAATGAAGAAGGACTGAATGACAAACCACTAACAGAGGTCAGTGTGAGGGCAACGAGCGCTGACCTCACCAGCGTAGGGCGAGGCTGGTCACAAAATGCACACACACACACACACACACACACACACACACACACACACACACACACACACACACACACTGCAGTCAGGCTATGACTAGGCGAAGTGGTGAAATTCTTGCCATTCGTTTTCTCGGATCACTGGCTGGGCGATGGATCACGAGCATATACCACCGTCACTAAATTACTCTCAATCGGAATCGTGTTATGTGCCTGTTACTCAGCGAGTGATTATTTTTCGTCTGTATGGTGAATGTGGGTGCAACAATGCATTGTATTTATATGAACTAACGGCTTTGTAATTGGGATCCACAATGATGACACAACTTGCTGAAGGCCAGTGAGCAATCGCATCTATCTTTATTTATAACGAGGAACAGAATGTCACGTACAGTTACTTTGCACAGTATCATGTCATTTCAACACTCATGTTGGATCTGGGTCAAGCGTATACATGTCGTGCAGTCAGTATACACTTTGTAAAGGGAGACCGTGTATTTCGCCCATGGGTTTGCAATATTGCCTCTTAGTAACTCCATCCTTTGTATCCTTGTCAGTTTTCTGTGTTCCTCGACTGTTCCCCACCCCGATTTCCCGCTAACAATTGATGCTAATCACCAAGTGTTTTGAAACAGTGTTTCAATTGCATCGGTTGACCACGTCGTGTTTCATACTGGCCTTGTACCACTTTATCGCACCCCGTACTGCTATGGGTTCTGTTCATACTGACTGTGGGCACTACAACCCTGCGCTTTGTTCTAGTGCAGGTAGTGAATCACAAGTATCTCTTAAGCAGTGTTTTCATTCGTTTGATGGGAAACATTTCCCATACTTTACGGATCCTATCTGACCTTCCATCAACATCAGAGGTGAGCTATGTTAAACAATGCACAATCGGCCGCGTTCCGTTGCCTGACCAACGATCACCGGCTGCTCACTGCGATCAGACCCGCATATTTCAGTGGTTAGGCCAGGTGTCAAGCGTCCTATTGCTCAACCCTCGCCTCATGCTAAGTATGTCCGTTCGTCCGTGCATGTGATCCCCGATCGCCAACGTGAATTCGCTTTCATTGGTGTGACAGAACTGGCCACGACCAACTGGACGAGGCAAGTTACGGACTTCGGTATCCGATGGCAACAACCTGCGCTATGCACAAGAGACACGGTTAAACGTGTCGCAAAATCCTGTGGATATGTTACAAGGGTAGTTTAAATGACATAACCCGGAAACAAAAATTCCTCATCCTTGCCACGATCCCTAAGTGGCAACGACGAGGAATTTTTGTTTTCGGGTTACTTCAGTCACACATTATCCACATGATTTCGTGACACCGTGATGAAGCGAGGCCGCCCTGTTTTTGGCGTCGCAAACGCCCCCAGTATTCTCAAATTTTCTCACCAGTCTACGAACGTACCGGCCATTGATGGGCCGCTTGGCATTATTGATAGTCTTGTATTGTCGAGCAGTGTGTTCAACGTTGCACCCACATTCACCATACAAACGAAAAGAATCACTCGGAGTCAGGTTATCGTGTGCTTTGAAGAATGAGGTGGGCTGTCTCCGCGCCAGAGTGGCCATCAGATGATGCAGTTTGCTGTCGAGTCTCCACTTCATATGCGGCCCGACAAAAGGGGCAGAGAGAACTGTGACACAGCTTACGCGCAGTCTCATGGAGGCTTGCGCTTTTACACAGCGTGCCAATTGGACGGGTTCAGTTTAGAGAGAACGCGTCGGGTTTCCTTCAGGCACTTATTGATGCAACAAACAGGGATGCCACTGGACCTATATTCTCAGCCTGCCTGTATACCTTCTTCAGCCGGGACAGTGCTGACATCTATGGATGTGAGGAATGCCCTAACCCACTCAGGCGCATGGACACCACACATTGATATACGCACGCACACACATAACCGCACGCAAGCACACAAGCCAGTCTTGTCGTGTGCCAGTGAATGCATGCCGAGATGTCCTGTCAGTTTTGATTACATGGACATTTTTCCCTTACCTACGGTTCTGGGCCCTATTGAGCATACACCCTCGAAAGTTTACTTACCGTGACTAATACCTATCATCCAGGGCTCGCGATCCTCCCGTAGGAGATGTTTAAGTTTAGCGTTGGGGGTCCTGCGCAGTGGGTGGTACCGAACGCCTGCAAGAATTGCTTGACGAACTTCGAGAAGCTGGAGGGATCGTGCAGAGATCCAGTAGTTGACAGGACTACTGGTGAAGCCACAGACCAGGGTTGCATGGCGCTGCGGATGTGTACCCAGTGCGTTTCAACGTCAGAGCGTTAGGTGATCTTGTGTCTTGAGACCAGCGTATCATAAATGGCGCTGAGAACGCTTGGGGCAGAAAGCTTAGCCATGTGAATTCGTTTCCGCTGACGCTGTTGGTAGCCACTAAAAGAAGGGCGATTTTGGCACAAACAAGCGCGTGATCCGAAATGTGGTGTGCATTTAGGTGTTCATTTTAGTTGTTGGTTACTGAATTAACGTCCCGTCGCTTTCAGATGTCGTGAAGAAGTAGAAGGATACATTCGCATTGCTGTATTTTAATGCTCCCACAAATTAATAATGGAAGCACACGAGAAAGCCTGTGAAGGAGCGCTGTTGATGTGTGTACACCTTAGTGGTCAGTTGTCCAAATTTCGTTGAACGATTAGGCGTTGGCTGGACTTTTAAAAGATGGTCGATACAGCTGGTAAAACGGTCAGCTGACTATGAGTGATGTCCTACCAAAGCTTGTGTGGAAAAATGATGGAGTTCCTACGTACGTCCCACCAGCGCGCTGGCCGCACGATTTTCAAGCGACCGGGAGTTGGAATTCGGTGGGGGTAGCCGGTAAAAGCTGACGTCTACGTGGTACAGAGTCGCGAGAACTGCCCAAGGCTAAAGCATGGGAGGTATGCAGGCTAAACTTTTGTATCTAGGATGCAAAGAAAAAGTTGGGAGCAAAATAATTATGGTATGTACATTTGTGGTAGTCTGGTTTTTGTTAGACAGCACATCTTGTTCTTCCACTTTGTCTTGTTAGATAAGCTGGCGAACAACAAGCGAAAGAAAACTGGCAGCAGGTAGTACAGCCAAGTGATTCGCACAGCATGATGGCACTCTGATAAGGCATAATACACCAAACGGTCTGGACAATGAACTCCCCTTCCTGACTGTGTCTGCTGCTTCGTAATGTTCTTTTTTGACTTGAAGTTAAATGTTAACGATAAAGGGTCACTTTCAGCGAGCTGTGATGATTGCTGCGTAAATTGTTTTGTGGACCTGTGAAATGCTTTTTGCAACGTCGTTCGATATACGCTGGCTTAAGACAGTTTACCGAAACCACATCGACCTTATCATTGCTGTTGACATCATAGTATTTTTCAGCTAATTCATCATCGTCACTCCCATTATTTCCATTATTATACATGTCAGCTAGAGATGGTAAAACACCTCCGCTATGTACCGTCACTCCCAATCAGCAG